TTGTCACTGAGACCTCATGCTGCTGCACCTGGTGTTGGTGGCATGGGGTGACAGGAGGTCTGGGTGCCAAGGGCTGCTGGTTCTGTCCCCTCTGGGGCCACCTGCGTGCTGCGGTGACCAGGGGCAGCTGCCTTTACCAGCCTGGCACGAGCTGAGTCCTGGGAAACCAGCCCCTGGCCACAGCTGCGGCAGCAGCTGGCTTTGCTCTCAGGCTCAGGCTGAGCCTCTGCCCCCTTCGCCACGGCCCTTTGGGGGGAAAAGCTGCTGCTTCTGGGCTCTCCAGCTTCTCCACCAGCATCGCTGGAGAAACTGCCCCTCGTCCTTCCACAGTGCTGGTGATCCCCGGGGCTCCTGGCAGCCCAGCGGCACTCGGCACTGTGCAACATCCTCGCCAGAGAGGTTATCCTGGAAAAATGAGCCCCTTCCCTGGGAGAGCAGGGCAGCTCCCGACCCCGCAGGGCCCCCGGGCGCTGTTTATCTTTGCACAGGAGATAAAGCAGCTGTCGGCCATCCCATTTCGAGGCTGGACAGCTGTAGCTGGCCCTGGCCCATCCCATCCCACCGTGGCAGGGGTAGGGACCTCCGGGTGTTTGCCAGCCCCTTTTGAACATCAGTTTGTCAGTGGCTGGCCGACGATCCTGCTGAGTTGCCCCTGGGAAGATATGACCCAGCCCCATTTCAGAGGGACCCACAGGGCCAGCCACACCCCCCCAGGACCAGCCACCCCCCAGAATTTGTTCCACAGGTCCCCATCACACAGGGCTCCGGCCTCCCCTCCCAGTGCTGCTGCGTTGCACCCCAGGGTGCTGTCACGCTCTGTGTTGGGCTGTGCCCCATCCCCTGCACACCGGGGCGAGGAGGAAGCCAGGGCTGAAGGCTGGGCTGGGAGGGATGAGTCAGATGTGGTGGTGGCGATGGGACTTCTCCATAGCCCAGCATTTGGGGAAGCTCCCTTCCTCCAAGGCAGAGGGGTTGGGGTGCTTGGGTCAACGTAGCACCCAGGGGTGGGGTATGTGGCCAGGCTTGCTAGTGGCAGCACCAAGGTCTGCATGGGGTGCAGTGTGTCCCATCACCCTGGGCATGGCCACCAAGGGACCCGGCCCAGCTGTACCAGCACGACTTAGTGCCTCCCCAAAACGTCCATGGTGACAGCAGCAGCAGCTCTGGGGCTCTGCACATGTGTCACAAAGTGTGTCCGTGCTCAGGCTTTCCCCAGGGCAGCAAGCAGGACCGTGTCCCCTCCACCTTCCTGCTTGGCATCTTTGCACCGCCGGGGTCTGGTGACACTCCTAGCTGGAGAGAAAGAGAAATTCCCCAGACAAACGGCTATCGACGGCTGCAGTGGAGGCAGCACAGATAGATACTGGAGGTATAGACGGGCACGACAGACAGCGGAGCAGATTGAGAGATACTCGGAGCAGAGAGATACCGCAGGAGGAATCGGGAGATAGATCCTGCGGGCTGATCAATACTCACTGCATGCGGAGGGACAGCAAGATAGAGCGAGCTGCAGGGGGAAGGTGTTTGGTGGGCAGCGATGTGCGTTTGTCCTGGTGACAGCTCTGGGGAGCTGCCACTTGTGGTCACTTCAGCTGGGGCTGTGACAGAGCCGGACTCATGGTTCAAGTGCCCATGGCTGTCTCCTTGCATGTCTCCGGACACCCCACAGGGGTTTAGTGTCCTTTGAGGTGCCATGGGGTCCCACCTGGCCTCTGGGTACCAAAGAGTACCAGATATATCTCCTGTGAGTCCTGGTCACATCCTCCAGCCCTGCAGGGATGTCCCTGCCACCCGTGGGCATCTTGAAGGATGCTGGGTGCCTGCATGCGGGCAGCCGATGGGGAGAGGGGCAGCTTGCGCACGAGCCCTGGCAGAGAGGCTGTGCTGGAGCTGGGTGACTGCCAATGAGTTCCCACCCCGTGCCTCAGTTCCTCCATGTGAACCAAATGATGGCAAGCCACAGGGAGCTGGGTCAGTCCAGCACAGACACAGGCATGGATGAGGAGGAGTGGGGAGGAAGGGGAAGAGGCAGCAACAGCCTGCAGGACGTGCTGTGTCCAGGACCCATCTCTCATCTGCTGGTCACTGGGGACACTTACCTGCTCCATAACAGGTTTCAAACACCCACCCCAAAGGGAAGGGCTGCTTTTTGGGACCCTTAAACGCCTGGCACTCTCCCTGCTCAGTGCTGGGATGAGGACAACCCCTCCTGCTGCAGCAAAGCAGCCAGGGCTCCTGGGTCCCAGCCCAGCTCCATCCCGGTGGCACTTGCCTGAGCCATCCCATGCTGCCTGGTTTCTCTGCCGGGCACATGCTAGCATGGCTGGGGACGGTGAGAAAGGTACTCTTGGAGCAGCTCTTTGCTCGGACAGGGCTGCTGGCCCCGCGGCCAGGCTGTGGGGGATCCCCCGCCCGTGATGGAGTTATTGACATGGGCACTACGGAAAACACTGCTGAGATTGTTCACACTAATGTTATTTAGCAGCAATATTTCCGTAATAAAAGAAATCAATGGGCAAGAGAAAAGACCTGTCCAGAGCTTTGATTTTCTCATTTTAATGGCATACTTATTTACTCCCACCAGCGTGCCCATTGGATTTTCATTACGCGGCCTTCGCTGTAAGTGGAGCGGTATTGATACGAGCTGCTGAGTTAGCGCCTTCCTGCGCGGGCCGGCGTGGGATTGTTCGTGTTCCTCAACAGGGCCCCACTAAACCCCAGGGAATGGGCACGGCACGGGGCCAGGGCGGCCTTGCAGCCCACAGGAACACACAGGCACACACACTCAGCGTGCCCACACACGTGTGCACGCACACGGTCTACCCATGGGCACGCAGGCATGCACACACGTCTACCTGGTTGTCCTGCCAGTCTGTACACACACGTGTGCACTTGGACTGTGCGCACACACACGCGTGCACACACTCATCTCACCTGCACAGGCACACACACATGCACGTGACTCTTCTGCCTACACAAACGCACCTACGCAAATGCCCTACCCATACGTGCCCAAGCACTCACACATGTGCAATTGCTGACTGTATGGACAGATGCCCAGTTGTTCTACCTATATACACATGTGCAAACATGTGTGTAAACATGTGTGCAACCCCCACCTGCTCTGCCTACACCCACCTCCTGCAAACTGTTTTACCTATGTGCATGCACACACCTACACATGCCTAACCACCTTGCCAAGACACACACACACAAAACCATCCTGCTTGCACCTACACACACAGACACGTGCCCTGTCTGCCAAGACATGCACACACATGCAATACACACACACAGCCTATACACCCTGTGTTCCCCCCCCGTGCCCTTCTCACACTGGAGGGCATGTGTGTGCGTGTCTGTGTAAACTTCTCAGGATCACCAACCCACTGCCCCTGGGTCTGCACGCCCAGCATCAGCAGTGTCCCCCAAAAGGATGGAGCCCCCCGGACTCTTGGGTCCCCCATGGAAGCAGGGCCCTGGCACCAGCCCAGGCTTTCGGTCCCCAGTGACTGCAGCAGAGAGAGGAGTAACACCACCATCTCCTGCCAGTCTCTGGGAGCTGCGATGGGCCTGATCCTGCCCAGCACTGCACCCCCTGGCTCCCAGGACCCCAGGCGGGATGATGCCAGCTGCCCAGGGACACCTGGCTGTCCCCAGCTGCCAGCAGGACCCCCACTGAGCCCAGAGCCAGAGGGATCCAGCACCATTCCCTGTGGCAGGGGCTCAGCACGCTCCAGAGACTCTCCTGGGGACCCAAGCTGGTGGGATGAACAATTTTATTACCGATATCTCTTTCCAGATGCCAAATTAAGAAGTAGCCCGTGTGTGGGGCTGTCAGTCAGCAGGACGGGGACAGTCCAGGGAGCAGGAGGAGCGACATGCTATAGGCCTGGTGACCAGGGACACACACGTTAGTTTGGCAGCAGCGCGGAGGTGAAAGCCCTCCACCAAGCAGTGAGCCCGCACGGATCCAGCCGCAGGGCTGCAAGCAGGGTCCACAGCCAGGCTCGGTCAGGGGACCACAGCGCTCCTTCAGTGGCCAGGACCCCGCACCAGGAGCCGAGCAGGGTGGGGTGGCTGTCCCCAGGGGGTTTCACAGCCAGGGGAAGCATTTCGAGGGGTGAGATCCCACCCTGAGCTAGTACAGAGGTTCGGGCACCCGCAGACACTAGGTACGTGCATAGCCCAGAGGCCACGCAGAACGGGCTCTCGGTTAAGGCGACAGATGGTGGCTCTCCCCCTTGGGGGGGACTGCAGGGAGGGGGACTGTGGGGAAAGGGACCCTATTCCAGGCCCGGCTGTCCCTTGGGGCAGATGACGCACAGGAGACCAAGAGGGACCTCGAGCACAGAAGCTTGGCATCCCCTCACTGCCAGGGGGTCCCAGTGCAGATCCTGCCCTGTGCCAGCGTGACACTGTGTGCTGCCAACCCACATCAGCGGGGACAGAGCCACAGGAGATGCTGCCAGCTGGACACAGCACCCTGCGCTGCCCGCAGCCCCGGCAGCCTGCCAGGGAGATGGGGAACCTCTCCGCTGACCTTTACAGCGCGTGCTCCGGTCCAGCTCACCCCATGCACCCTGCCCTGAGGGTGGCATCCTCCTCCTGATGTCTCAGGAGCTGCAGAAATTTTGCAGAGCCTGGGGACAGCCAGCTCCAGCCCCTCTCCCGCTGCATGCCGAGGGCACAGAGGGGTGTTTGTACCCCGCAAGGCTACTCCAGCCCCGAGGGATGGAAAAGTAGGACATGGCTCCCATCGAAAGGGGGGAGAGGCAGGCAGTAAAGAGAACTGGCGGTCTGTATTGCTGTGACCACCACGGTCCCTCTGTCCCGGCACCCAGCTGGCCCATGGGAAAGGACAGAGCAATTTGGGGGAGGCACAGGGGGTCTCCTGCTGCCTCTGCTAGAGCCTGGGCTTGGGGAGGAGGAGGAAAAGGGAGGAAGGCTGGGAGGAGAGGAGCCAGCCGTGCCTGGCAGGGCGCCCTGGATAGCCGGGCTCAGCGTGCCAAGGTGCTGAAGAAGGCATTGGCTTCCAGGAGCAGGCCCTTGGCATAGGCGCGCAGGGTGTAGAAGAGGGTGACGAAGTCCTGAGTGCTGAAGAGGGTGTCAGCCAGGGCGAAGGCGAGCGTGGAGGGGATGAAGCCCCGGCCATACTCCACCATCCAGGTGCCTGCACTCCACTGCACTGACGTGGCCTCTCCCGCCTGGTGCACGATGGTGTCTCCTGCCAACACACACAACCAGCACTGCTCACAGTGGCTGCCCCGCGTTGTTCCCAAAAAGATGTGTGGGACCAGGACTTGCAGGGCTCAGCACTCCGGTCTACGCACCCCAACCCCTCCCCAGTCTTGCTCACTTTTCTCTTACTAGCACCCATTGAGATGCTGGGATATGCCCTAGGGGACATAAACTGCCCCATGGTGAGCTCTTGGCTTCTGCTAGCTGGAAGGAAGAGGCTCTGCGATAGCAGAGGACCAGCCCGCAGAGCAGCCATGCACTGGGACATGGATGCAGCCCGCATGGTGCCATGGCTGCTGCGCTTACCTGGATAGTAGATCTGCTCACCCCATGCACCCTGCCCTGAGGGTGGCATCCTCCTCCTGATGTCTCAGGAGCTGCAGAAATTTTGCAGAGCCTGGGGACAGCCAGCTCCAGCCCCTCTCCCGCTGCATGCCGAGGGCACAGAGGGGTGTTTGTACCCCGCAAGGCTACTCCAGCCCCGAGGGATGGAAAAGTAGGACATGGCTCCCATCGAAAGGGGGGAGAGGCAGGCAGTAAAGAGAACTGGCGGTCTGTATTGCTGTGACCACCACGGTCCCTCTGTCCCGGCACCCAGCTGGCCCATGGGAAAGGACAGAGCAATTTGGGGGAGGCACAGGGGGTCTCCTGCTGCCTCTGCTAGAGCCTGGGCTTGGGGAGGAGGAGGAAAAGGGAGGAAGGCTGGGAGGAGAGGAGCCAGCCGTGCCTGGCAGGGCGCCCTGGATAGCCGGGCTCAGCAGCCCAAGGTGCTGAAGAAGGCATTGGCTTCCAGGAGCAGGCCCTTGGCATAGGCGCGCAGGGTGTAGAAGAGGGTGACGAAGTCCTGAGTGCTGAAGAGGGTGTCAGCCAGGGCGAAGGCGAGCGTGGAGGGGATGAAGCCCCGGCCATACTCCACCATCCAGGTGCCTGCACTCCACTGCACTGACGTGGCCTCTCCCGCCTGGTGCACGATGGTGTCTCCTGCCAACACACACAACCAGCACTGCTCACAGTGGCTGCCCCGCGTTGTTCCCAAAAAGATGTGTGGGACCAGGACTTGCAGGGCTCAGCACTCCGGTCTACGCACCCCAACCCCTCCCCAGTCTTGCTCACTTTTCTCTTACTAGCACCCATTGAGATGCTGGGATATGCCCTAGGGGACATAAACTGCCCCATGGTGAGCTCTTGGCTTCTGCTAGCTGGAAGGAAGAGGCTCTGCGATAGCAGAGGACCAGCCCGCAGAGCAGCCATGCACTGGGACATGGATGCAGCCCGCATGGGGCCATGGCTGCTGCGCTTACCTGGATAGTAGATCTCACTTCTGGTGGTCCCCTCCTTCCACTGCCGGAAGGTCCCCGAGATGACAGTGTCAGAGATATCCGCCCAGTACCGACCTGCGGGAGGACAGACAGCGCTGGCTCAGTGCATCCCTACTGGGGATGGCTTGGGAGCCCAGGTCTGAGCCGCGGAGCAGCCCTCCAGGGGGAAGGATGCCAGCCCCAGGGCCTTGACACACGGAGGAGCGCAGCCAGCTGTGGTACCCAGGCTGCCTGTGTGACTGGCCATATCTCACCAGCCCAGGCTACTCAGTGTTCTTAAGCTCCATCGCTTCCAGCATGTTTGGCATTCGCTCCCTGCTGAAGCACCGGGAGATACGATGCCCGCCACTGCCTGCCAGCTGGATGCAGAGAGTCCTGGCCACCCGACATGGCATGCACAGAGACCTGCAGGCGCTGCAGGACACGACAGGGGCTGGTCCCCATGCAGAGCGTGTTTTCCAGCATCGTGCACCCCATAAAAGAAGTGGAGCAGTGGGCTCCTGCCCCAGGCACACCACGGCCGGGGCAGCCAGACCCAAACAAGTGGAGTGGAGCTCAGAGAAAGGCCCCGCCTGCCAGCCCTGTCACCCCACTTACCTGAGTGGCCCCCAGTGTCGACAGCTGTCCCGAAGAGCAGCACGTACTCAGTGAGCGAGGCGTGTAGGAGGCACATAGAACCCATCCACCCGCCCGCATTCACGAACACCCACTGCAGGTCCTCGTCTGGCAGGATGTGGCCTGGGTGCTTCTTTCGTAGCTCCACAATGATCTTAGAGAAAGCCAGCTCATGGTCCAGCCCTGCAGCATCCAGGGTTGCCGTGAGTTCCCTGGCATG